GGCGAGGCGCCCGGGGCGGGCGAGGCGGCCGGGGCGGGCGAAGCGGCCGGGGCAGGCGCGGCGGCGGCGGGGCCCTCCATGGCCGGCACGGCAGGAGGCGGCGGGAGAAGGAGGCCGGGAGGAGGAGCAGTTGGCTCCCGCGCGAGCGAGGAGCGAGCGAGGAGGAGGAGTGCGGGTTGGGGGGCGATTTTCCTCTCAACCCCTACTTCTACGGATTGCAAACTGGTTTGAGGGTTGGACCTCTAAAAACTTTTACGGGTTTGAGGGTTTAGAGGTTCTAGTCTACGGTGTTTTTTCCGTGAAAACTGTAAAAAAAGCAGTTATTTTTAGGGGTTTGAGGGTTTGAGGGCTTTACTAGTAATGCTCTAAATGTTTTGCCTAAATTCTTTAAAGTGCACGCGCATTATTTGGAGGGAGTGAGCGGGCGCTTTCTGGCCGCATGATCTCGCGAGCAATCGCCCGGATGCGCCAGGTGCCACCTGGATTGGCCCCGCACCACGGTCGTGAGCGGTTTGTCCATATCCGGACATGGGGAGGCCCACATGTAAGCCATAGAGGATGGGAGGAGAGGGGGTCGTGGGCGGCGGTTTTGAAATCTGTGCCTGAAATTCCTCGCCCGCAGCGGTGCTCGCTCCCAGTTCCATCCCCTCGTCCTCGTCTTTGTCCTCGCTAGCCTCTCTGCCGAATGGGCTGCGATACGTGGAGGCGCGGCGGAGTCCTCAAGTCGGCGGGGGGCTCGCGGGGGGCTCTCCGCGGAGGGAATCGTTGGTGCTCATTGGCGTCGAAGGTATGCTCTGCTTCTCCTTTCTTGTCCTTCCTCTCTCCGTCTCACTGGATCGCGGATTTCGCCGGAATGTGAGGGGGATGCTTTCTATGGTTCGAACGGCGCGAACTGCTCCAATCCCTCCAACTTATGGTCAATTTAGCACATCTCTCCCTCTGATGCGGTTAAGCCTTTTCTTTGGTAGCACGCCCCCAACTGTGGGCAAGATCTATGGCAGAGTGGTGTAGTTGGGTAGGGCACGGGTACTCGTTTTGCTGCTGTGTTCAAAAGCTAGCAGGGGATGCACGTCTGGGGCGCCCGTTGTGCCATTTTAGGGCGATGGAGAGTGGTTGTTCGTTGTTCAGGGCTGTTGCCGTCAAGGCAGGGGTTTTGAGATCTGTTCATGATTTCTCCTAGTCCTTCTTCAAGTTCTATGTCGAGTTCTATGTTGTTGTTTGTTAGATGTGCGCAATGTTGTGTGCAATGCAATGGCTGATTGAACTTGTTGTATGTGTAGACATTTTTGATTAGTTGCACAAAATTCTTCCCAGTTGGCTGCACCGATATAGTAGTTGGTTGTCCATATGTTCTGCAGTTGCACTAGTTGTCTTGGTCAGTTGGCTTACTGTTCCTAACTGTTTGTACTAGTTGGTTGTCTACACGTTGTTCAGTTGCACAAGTTGCCTACTGAGTTGGCTGCATCACTATACTAGTTGGTTGTCCAAGTGTTCTACACTGGACATTAGTTGTCCTGCTTAGTTTGCTTGCTGTTTTGTGCTAGGTTGGCTGTCTACACGTCGTTCAGTTGCACAAGTTGCCTGATTAGTTGGCTGCATCCATATACTAGTTGGTTGTCCACATGTTTTTGCTTTTTTGCACTAGTTGTCATGCTTAGGTTTGCTTCCGGTTTTGTATTAGGTTGGTTGTGTATATGCTGTTGAGTTGCACAAAGTTGCTCTGCTTTCTGTTTTGCATTTCTTTTGTCCTAGTCTTTTTGTTTGTCCCGGTTACACAAATTATCATACTCAGCTGGCTAGCTTTAGTTAACTATTTTTCTCCCTAGTTATTTCTCGCCTTAGTGAAACTAGTTGGCTTATAAACTTGTAGTTGCACAAGGTTGACTGACCAGTTGGCTGCATCACTGTAGTAGCTGGCTGTCCTCATGTTTTACAGTTTTTTTGCACTAGATGTCCTGCTTATGTGTAGAGGTTTGCATATCAAAGCAAGCTTTTATGTTTTCTCTACTTCATTTGCGCATCTTCTAACTATGTTTTCTTTTCTTGTATTTCCCCCACAGGCTAAAAATGGTTATAATAGGAGGAGAAGCTGATGACAATGAAGGAGATGTATTTTTCTCAATTTTTTCTGCATATTTGAGTTGTTTTCAACTTATCCATGTATGCTTATGTCGTTTTTCATGTTTTTTGGTTGCTTAATTAGAGTTCTGGAAGTCAGTCCCTTCGCCGGAACTCAAAGCGTGTTGCTAATCGCCAGCCACGCCCAAAATGTAGTGTTGAGCAGGGAGAGGAAGTTGAGGTAAGGGCATGCTGATTACACATTCACCTTATTTTGGATCATATAATAATTTTTTTCCCATGTTTTTTTATTTTCTTAGGATGTTGATCGGTTTCGGGTTGTAAAGCGGACTAAACGTGCAGTAGCAACAGGGCGAGCTGAATCATCTACTAGGGTAATTAAATCCTTGAATATCAATGTTTCTCGGGTTTTTTAGGGGCTGACGAAATTATGCAGCCGTTGGCACAACTATTTTTGTTCTAGTTGCTCAATTACCATCTTGTAGTTGACATCATTGGTCATATTGATGTACATATAGTTTTCACAGAAGTTGACATG